AAAATGGGGCTACAAGGGAGGTTAGTATTTTGCGAGGGGAAGTAAGGAAGGCAAGGCTTTTGTTAGGGGAAGTTGGGGAGGGAAGGTCTTCCAGAAGAGAGTTTAGGCGGGAAAGACTTCCTGCCACCCAGGCGTAAGAGAACAGGTCTTTATGAAGGGAGGTGAGAGAGGGGAGGACTTTGTAAGGAGGACTGCTGAGGATAGGGCCATAAAGGCTTTCGGGAGGAGAGAGGACAGGAGGGGGCAGGGTTGGTGCCACAGGTCGCCACACCCCACCCCTCCCCATCCCCCAGTCCCCCAGTCTCCAAGCATTTCCCTGGCTGGCCGGGAGCCAGCACTCACCACTCACCGGGGTACATGTAGTAGTACACCAACAGCAGGATGCAGATAGACAGCGAGAACAGCCAGAAGCGCTTGTTGAGGCACATGTTTGTCACAGAGCGGTGAGCCTGAGCCCGGAAGCCATGCAGAGATGCCCGCCATCCTGGCCTAGGCCTGTTACCCATTGCAGCCTCATGCCCGGGATGGCTGCTCTCGGGATTCAACTCGCTTGCCGCTGCCTCAGAAGTTGCCTTCTTTAAGCGAGCCACTTTCGCGACCCGGGACCTTGACCTATTCCTCCGCTTCACTTTTCTCTGATCTGAAGGCATGGCTCCGTGTACTGCCTTGGTGAGACGCCGCCTCACTGTCCAACGGTCTGTGACTCATAAGCTTCCGGGGCAGTCCGTGACCCCAAAGTTCCGGTGCAGCACGTGACCCCGAAGTTCCGGCGCAGCCCGTGACCCAGTGATTCTTGCGTGACTTGTGCCAACCCTCGCGATATCTGAAACTGATTCCTTCACAATGATGTCTTCTGATTCATTCCACAGGTCCAAACCCTTATAACCACGTGGCCAGCGTTTGGCGCACCCCCATACTCCTACTCAAAGCCTGGCGCTAGATGCTTGTTAAATGCTTCCAGAGCAAGTGAACGGGGCTTGAGGCCTGCACCAGCGGCATAACTGCTTGTCATAGATCAACAAAAAGGAGTAACTCGGATTCAGACTCCAGCCTTGGCTGTTAATTCCTCCTCGTTCCTAGAGTGCATACTGTAGTGTACAGTCACTACAATTAGTCATTACAGCGCTCGCGACAGCATCTGCTAGCCAAATGTGGCTGTTTAAATGTAAATTTCAACTACTTAAAATTAAATAAAATTAAGAAATCAGTTCCTCAGTCACAGTAGCCACATTAACACATGCTCAATAGCCACATGTGGCTCATGGCTGCCATCCTGAACACTGGCAACATAAATACATATATATATATGTATTTAAGAGGGAGTCTTGCTCTGTCGCCCAGGCTGGAGTGCAGGGCACGGTCTTGGCCCACTGCAACCTTCACCTTCCTGGTTCAAGCAATGCTCCTGCCTCAGCCTCCCGAATAGCTGGGATTACAGGTGCATCCCACCACGCCTGGCTAATTTTTGTATTTTTAGTAGAGACAGGGGTTTCACCATGTTGACCAGGCTGATCTTGAACTCCTGACCTCTGGTGATGCCTCCCACCTCAGCCTCCCAAAGTGCTGGGATTACAGGCATGAGCCACCACACCCAGCAGGAGCATTTTCATCATGGCAAAAAGTTGTCTTGGGCAGTGCTGGATGTGAAGAGTGAGTAGTGAATATCATAGATATTCAATAGATTGTTGCGCTTTAGTAGAAGCCTTTAAGTGTGGGACAAAACGCTATTTGCCTTATGAGACCTTAACACTGAGTTACAAATAAATAAAACAGTAGGACAACATGAGAACAAAAAATGTGTGAGGAACACTGAAGAGTGACTAAAATCATTTACATTTTATTGCCATAATTACCACCCATGAACTGGGTGGCTCTAAGTAAATGTCCTCCTCCCACTAGACCTTGGTTACTCATGTAAAATGAGAGGGCTGTACATTGTTGCTAGACCCCATTTTGGCTCTAAAATCTGACCCTTGGGCAAAATCCCATTACCTTCGTTGGTTTGGCCACACCTGCAAAAGGATTGTGTAGGTAATGCTTCCATAACTGTTAGCCTACCACATTCTAGTTTACAAGGGATATGAAAACCATCCTCAACTGCACTTCCATCCTTATTCGTAATTATATTATACACACTTTCCAAAGGAGTTTCTACTAATTTTATTCTATTGTTATTTCCAGTGTTACTAGACATCCCACAGAGGAAGGCAGAAGGCTTCCTATTCCAACAATTCTTGAAACTTAGCAGACTCCATCCATCCCAGCCCCATGCCCAAGAGCCATTCATAATGCTCTTTCCTTTATTCAAGAGTCTAACAGGAAAAGAACCCATTTTCCTTTTATAGTTTTTTAAATCATTTTTCTGGCTTCGGCTTTTCCAAAATTAATTTGATGAGAGAATTGTTATTGCACAAAACATTTATTAATAGCTTCTGAAACTACTGCTTGCAGCTGTGAGGAACTGTGAAGTATCTGAGATTTTACTCTGCTTTCAAGTAAAAAGGTAACTAGTGTCAGTTTTATAGATGCTGGCAGAAGATGCAAGACTACTGAGTCAGAGACAAAGGACAAAAGCTCTTCTGAGGCATGCAGAAACTCAACAAATCAATGGAAAATTGCCTCCCAACAGCAACGTGTTTATGTCACAGCACAGGAGGGAAATGATCATATGACCAGACACTGCACAGCCACCCTGAAGTCTCAGAAAAATCAAGCTGGAGCACACCATTGGGAACTCAGCTCTTAGCCATCTCACAGGTTGAGCTCTCTTAGCCCTTAGTTTCTCCCATCTACCAATTAGGGGCTGTGGATAGCCTGATTGGGAAGATGCTTGACTATAGCATTTGAGGTTGCTGCAAACATGTAAAGCGTGGCAGTTCTACTACAATGTAATCCACCTTATACCATTAGAAACCCAAATTACTAACAGGAACTCAAGGGACAAAATCTGTAAGATTACAACTCAGCACTTCCTGGTTTACACAACGTTAATTCAGGTCACTCGCACAAAAAGCCATGCGAAGTGGCCATTTTATAGATTATCAGATGTAAATTTAAAATCCTTCACTGGCTTTCCTCTTTTGTCCTGTATGCTCAAGGGAGCTACATTTGATACTAAACAACCCAGACCTAATTAGAGATAAAAATGTATTGCATGGGCATGAGTACAAGAATTCTTCATGAGATGATACATACCACTGCTCACAATGTAACTACTGTTCAGAATAGACACTTTTTTTTCCCAAATATCACCACAGACACACATGAAAAGATGCCTGACCTCAGGTAATCATGGGAATATAAGTTAAATCAATAAAGAGATATGTCACACTGATCAGATTACCAAAAATCAATAAATATCCACACAAATATATAGAAATAAGACTTTGGTCATTGTTGGTGGGGTTACAAATGGGTACAACCACTTTGGTGAGTTATTGTTGTTGTTGTTGTTGTTTGAGACAGAGTCTCACTCTGTCACCCAGGCTGGAGTCCAGTGGTGCTATCTCAGCTCACTGAAACGTCCACTTCCTGGGTATAAGAGATTCTACTGCCTCAGCATCCCAAGTAGCTGGGACTACGGGCATGTGCCTCTGTGCCCCAGCTAACTCTGTATTTTTTAGTAGAGGCAGGGTTTCACTATATGTTGACCAGGCTGGTCTTGAATGCCTGACCTCAGGTGATCAGCCCATCTTGGCCTCCCAAAGTGCTGGGATTATAGGCATGAGCCACTGTGCCCGACCCACTTTGGTGATTTTTTAACAACACATTGTAAAGTTAAATATTCACATATTCTGTGACCTAGGAATTCCACTTTTAGGTATCTAAAAGTGGCATGTGTACAAGGAGACATGTACAACATTATTCATTGTTATAGTGGAAATAACATAAATGATGTCTCAGTAGGGTAATAAAAGCAAACTAGTTCATTCCTATAATGTATAATATAACATTTAACAATAGTCAGGATCAATAGCCCTAGCCAAGGTAGTAATTATCTTTTTTTTTTTTTACTGGTTTGCCTACCAGCGTGAGGTGACAGTCTCAGCTTCTAATTGAGTGGAATTATTATTGTGTTCCCTGAAAGAAATGTTGAATAATAATAAACTTCTATTTCTAAAATAGCAGAAGCCAAAGTTGTGAGAATAGGAAGCAAAACACAATTTTTTTGTGGATTATGAGGTGTCACAAGTAGGTCTATAAGAGATGATTTCATTGTTTTATTAGGTTGTCTTCTTCTAGATGAGGTGGCATGTGGCAAAACCAGTGAAGTCAACAGGCTTCAGTTCTTTCTTGTACTTAGATCAGGGTAATGTGAGTTCTTTAGATGGAAGCAATGTTGTGTTAGATACAATAGTGCTTCAATAGATATTCAATAAATCTATAGATGGTAGGGCTAGCAGAGTTACTATAAAAAGGAAAATAAATCCAATTCCTATTTGTAAACAGGAAAACAAACAACTCCGATCTATTCAAGTTAAGAAAAAAGTCACTGTCCAGTTTGTAATAAAAGGAGTCCGAAGTAATGGAACTGTCCCAAGATGGCTGGATGGTACCCATAGGATATTATGCCACATCAGGGTCCCAGGGTTAATGGCTGCTGCTGGTAAATTGGGCATCCAAGCAGTAGTAATAGTAAGTTTTGGTGAGAGGAAATTCTTATTATTGAGTCCATGCATATTTTCATTTCTGTCTCCGAGGTCACTGAATGGGCATTAAGTCCATCTGACTATTTGGCACCTCTCCTACAAAGAGAACCTTTTGATAAATATTCATATGCAAGACCTATATTCTAGATCAACTCACATACTTCTTTCTCAAGTTTCCTTGCTATCAATCCTCCAAACTTGCTCCTTCCAAGACCCAGACCATCCAGCCGCAACATTAGCCTCTGCCATGAGTCAGCATAGATCCTTGCCACAGCCTTTCTCTTCTACCTGGCAAACAAGGCAAGTTCCAGATGAAGGGGACAACCAAATATATGACTTGAAGTTCTGCCCAGCAGGTAGACTTCCCTTCCCCACCATCCTACGGATCACCTATGAGTGGAGCTGTATTGACACAGGAATCTACTTATTCCTAAGAGAGAACTATTCTTTCTGTTCTCTTTCTCTGATCATGGTTGTTTCTGGATGAGCTGCAGCCATCTTGCTGCCCATATAAGAATGAAGTCAATATGGAGAATGGCAGAAAAGAGGAACAGGAAGAACCTGAATACCTAATGATAGCATTGAACTACCCCGAAACTTGACCCATTGTGAAACTTCCAGTTTGTGAGATAATATATTTCCTAATAGTTTTAACCACTTCGAGTTAGTGTTTCTGTTTCTGACAGCCAAATGCTTTCTAACTAATATAGTTGTCCAAACATTCTCTCTTGTGTATTACTTGATCACCTAGTCAAAATTCAATGCTCTCAGAAGAAAATACCCCAAATTTGAATAACACATAGGCATAGCTGCATATACAGAGAGATCCATGTATTTGTTGAGTGAATGGATGGATAAAGGAATAAATGTTCTTAACTACTATTGCTCTAAGCAAAATCCTCTGTTTCTTGACTACTATCTGTATCAGTCAGGGTTTATTTGCAGATGACTAGAATAGTTAGTTAGCTAGTTAGAATACATAAGTAGATATTTTAAGCAAA